TTCAAAAAATATCCATTTTATTTGATCTATGTAATCGAACTTTTCTATATCGAAGCAATCGCAAAAATCCAATGGTAATGATCCCACTAATAAAACAAAATGTTGTACCAGTAAGAATATAAAATGTATATGGATTTTGTTCCAAACCATTTAATAAATTCATTCCATATATTCCTGTAATGAAAGCACCCACTCCAAATCCCATCGTTATAATATTAATACGAATTTCAAATGCAAGAAGTTCGTTTCGAACAGCATCAAGCATAAAACCTGTAGCACTTTCAAGTGTATGAACTGAATCAGAAAGATCCGAAATAGATCGACGTACTTCAGCCATTTGTTTAGTACATGCTTCAAGTAATAGTTCTATTTCTATATGATCTGATATATCTCGTTTACGATTATCCGTAAGATACATTCCAATCATATCTTCATCGTGTGCAAGAACATCAAGAATAGATTGATGTGCAAGCTCAGCATTTCGTTTATATTTATCAACTTTTTCTTTAAGTAAAGCAAGTTCACGTAATCTTACCACAGTAATACGAGAATAAGCACGTTCTCGAACATTTTGAAATTCATGTAAAAGTTCATTTGTTTTTAATTTTAATTGATGAGCAACAGTTTCTAAATTAATTTCAGTTATTCGAAATTCAAATGGTATTAAATCAATATTATTATTTAGTGTACGATTACAAGTAACATATCGTTCATTATAAAGTTCATATATATATCTGACATTTCGATTATATGCTTGAGCAATACGTTCCCAATGAACAGCATCTTTTATTCCAAAAGGTTCTCCAATAACTTTATCAGCAGATGGAACAAAATAGATACCTCGATCAGATTCCACTAAACTTCGAAGTCTTCGAAATGAAAAACAAATAAATCGATTTTGACGTATATCGATTATTGGAACATTTATAAGTAGATTAGTATCAAGTTTTTGTAAATCTCTTGGTGAAAGATTATATTGTTGACATATTTGAGCACGATCAAATGGACCTCGATGAACTTGTAAATCACCATCTTTAGTTAATATATATATATCACAATTTAATTGATGAGAAGTACTTGATATAAAATCTTCGTTCGATTTTGATTCAAATGATTGAAATCGACATGATATTCGATTATTTAATAAACAATTATTTAAATTAAATAGATGATTAAAATTTCTTTGAATAGATTGAAATAAAGGTTTTTTCAAGTTAATTCCAGTTAATTGCTTAGAGAGTACTGACAAAATAAACCGCATGATTTATTATATATTTTGTTTTTCTTATTTTCTTACACGGATTGTCTTAGCCAAAGCAATGGTAGCAAGCATTCATCATGTGTTTTGCCATAAATAGTATAAGCCAAATGTGAAGAAGAAAAAGAAATGGGCATTTGTTTTTTTGGTGTAACAACAACACAGAACGAATAAATGGTAAAGATTCGATATAAAGCATATAATTATTGACCTATACAAAATACATTTGGAACCTCTTTACAGATGAGAATGAACTGTATTAACAATCGAAAAGTTTTTATTATCATATTAGAATATATGCATCTTTTCAAAAGACATTTCTAAAAAAAATGGAAAAGAGGTCATCCTCAGTTTTCATACAAATACGATTAGTACATTTAAACGCCAATCAAGTAAGCTATCAAGATGATTTGGTTGTTGTCGTGAGGAAACATCAACTGTGTTTGATATGGTAGTCAACATGACTGATGAAATTGTAAATATAACTTGTTCTATTATTTTAGAATGGTTTTTCTTTATTTGCGAATATCTTAGTGCTTCTCAAGATAAACGATATGTTGACATCCACACTCTTTTATGTGCTTTAAGTTAGACTAGATAGTATGTAGGGTGTCGTCGATCTGGACAAGAACTGTCACTCGTTCACTGTTTACCAAGACGTTCCTGATTCGAACTATACATATATATCAATCTTAAATAACGAATCAGATATAAAAGAATGCTTACAATGTATAGCTAGAAATAAGCATTGAAAAAAAATTAGTACATTCGAGGCATTATAGTTCATACATGATTCATCACATTGAAATGAGTAAGTTTTTTTGTTGCTGTTATTACAACACAAAGATGAAACAGGACATAACATAGATGAGTTTGTAGTATTTCAAAATAGTGTTCTATTGAAAGAAATATTTCAATGATAAATTCATATTTTTGTTTTTTTTTTCATAATAGACAGCATCTTACACCATATAAACAATAGAATACAGTTTTTTAAACAGTTTTTGTGTGACGTCACTATTGTTTGAACGTTATTTAACTGAAATTTTTTTTCATTGTAGATATTTTCAATGAAAATGACAAATATACAATGTTAGAAAACTTCGTCGAAAAAGTAAATGCTTATAATTTCACTATTTATCAAACTTAATTAACTGTATTGTTTTTCAAATGATAGGTGCTACTTTCGAGTAAAATACAAAACTCACGAGGGAACATATCTAACTGTCGGAACGCTTTCGAGTCAAGAGTGGACTCATCTTGTACAGCTCAGTGAACTATGTTTACTCTGAGAAGAGTTCAGCCCATGGCCTGTTTCCGAGGAGATCGAATGTTTTTAGTGTTACAGCTGGATATTTTTATGATATTTCAACCAAATTGTATCAAAATGATCTCCAATTTTGACAAAATCTTTCGCGTTTGTAGAGCTTTTAATTCTAAGCATTTTCATAAAAACAATTTTTCAAGACGCTTTTGTTTTGATGGAGAAACGCTCCAAATAATTTCAGCGAAAAATTTTCAAACACTGTTGTCAAAAAGAAATTTCTTGAGTTTTTCTAGGGTTTTACCAGCTAAAGTGTTTTGAGTCTATCTACATCAAAATAAAAGCGTTTTGAAAATTTTTTTTTTTATGAAAATTCTTAGAATTAAAAGCTCTACAAACGCTAAAGATTTTGTCAAAATTGAAGATAATTTTGATGCAATGTGGTTGAGATATCATAAAAATATCCAGCTGTAATACTAAAAACATTTGATCTCCTCGAAAACAGGCCATGGGCCGAACCCTTTTCAGGGTAAACATAGTTCACTGAGCTCTACAAGATGATCCATGTCACAAAAACCGGATCAGTTTTAGCGATAAACCGCGGTTTACCGACAAAAACCGCCGATTTACCACGACTCACCATTAAAAAAACTCGGTTAACCGGTAGAGAGCCGGTAAAGCGAGAAAAATCGTCGGTTCAGCGCGGTTCTCTCCGGTTAACCGTCGGTTAACCGCCGGTTTTCATCACATGGGGAGCCCACTCTTGGCTCGAAAGCGTTCCGACAGTTGGATACGTTCCCTTGTCAGTCTTTTTTCGGTTTCAAGAAAAAATACTTCGTAGTGTTTTTCTTTTAATGCTGAAAGTTCTTGCTTTTTTTGTATTTTGTAGCGTTTATATCGGCCAAACGTAGTACTATTATTTATATGCATTTGTTTGAAATATTTGACTGCAAAAAGAAGCTTATTAGTATCAAGTCCAATGATCATGAAATTCATGAGATCGATTCACGTCTTCGAGGGTTCTCGTCACCTTTCGAACAGTTAAAGCAATTTTATGAGCTTCGTGATCATCAGACTTGATATGGTTAGAATTCTTTTTCCAGTACGATATTAACACACATGCATATAAACGATGATGATAAATCTGTTCAATATAAACGCCATAAAAAATGCAAGAAGTTGAAACATTAAAAGACTAACAATGCTAAGTATTATTTTTTATCTGAAATCGATAAAAGACTAATCTTTGTATTTAAGTTGAAAGTAATAAGTTTGAATAGAACAATGTTTCTAAAATTTGTTCTCATAAATAAAAACTTCAAAGTAATACCCCTATCGTTTGAAAAAAAAATTATTTGATTAAGTTTTATAGGTAGTACAGTTAAACAAGTTTATTTATTCGATGAAATTTCGAAATACCGTGCAATAATGAAAGGCACAAGCCTTTGATGAAAAAAAAAATTATTATTTTTAGTTTTTTAAAGTCTATTAGCAGTCATGACCGGTTTCCACCTTTCTGAAAGGTCTCATCAGATGACTTTCAGATATTAGGACTTATCACCAATAATAACAGGTTCCTTTTTTAATGTAATTACAACAAAATCTAGTGCAATATGTGTATACTATATAACTATAATTAGTTTATATAGTGACTACACGATTTATTTAGTTATTATTATGATGATGACAAGTCCGGACATCCAAAATTTATCTGATGAGACCTTTTAGCACGGCTAAAACTGGTCATCACTGATAATAGATAAAATTTGCTTATTTATGTTTTTTTAAATTGTCAATATATTTCACGAAGTCTTGAAAGTTAAACATAATAGCGATAATAGAATGATAATAAATGCTACATATTTTAAGAATCATTAAATAACGAATCGAATCAGTTTTTAATCATTTATATTGCCAAAAATATATGACAAACGATTTCTTTATCATTGTCTAAATTTGTTCATTAGAAATAGAATAAGTTATTTTCATAGGAACGCTCATATGAATACTTATCAAAAATTAATACAAGATTTAAACAATTAGAACATAACTCATTTAAAAATGGTGAAAAAATAATAGAAATTGAATAGAGTTTTATAGAAAATAAAAAAAAAAATATTATTTATAAAATAAACCAGTACTTCTTAGGGGTGGTAAATTAGCATTAGTATTACAAAAATGCTAATGCTTTAAGTATTAGTATTAAAATTAAGCCTAATGCTTTAGCATTATTGGCATTAGTGTTAAGTAATGCATAGGTGTTTGCATTACATTAGCATTATTTTTATAACACTAATACTTGAATTCGAAAAACAGTAGAAAATTGTTCTGTTTTGAGAAAGTATGACCCATTGGTGCCGCACTGATGAGTCATCGATGCGTCATATTCCCAAAAATAGAACAATTTTCTACTGTTTTTCAAATCCAAGTATTAGTGTTAAAAATAATGCTAAAGCATTAGGCTTAATTTTAACGCTAATGCTTAAAGCATTAGAATTAGTATTAATAAATGCTAATGTTAATTCTAATGCACCACCCCTTGTACTTCTATTGAGAAAAAATAGCTTTGATCATCAAGTTTCTTTTCGATCCCTTCAGGGTCAAAGCAATGAGTGAATGGGATGTGCTTACCTGTAGAAAAACTACATATCCATTTCAAAATATCGTTCGTCTCCAGATTGACAACTTGTTGTAAATCGATGGGTCTAACTAGCTGAATACATTAAAGATTGTAGATACCATGATATCATTGATCCGAAGAAGTACCAAAGATATTATTTCCCAGGTTAATATTGTAATTTATATTTTTTGTTTTGTACACTATACTATGGTTCTCGTTAAGGGTAATGAGATCCTTTACCAATTAGTATGATTGAAAGTGGGTAACACCACGGAGTGAGTATGAAGTTTTGTCAGCCTGAAGCAGTAAGAAGACTTTATTGACAAATAATTATTTGAAATAAATGATGATAAAAGTTGGTGACTAAAAATCTTGTCATCTAATTCTATTCGTTACTAGTACAGTTATTTTTCTCATTTTTTGAAATATCTAAAGTATATAATAATCATTTATATACTTTACATTGAAATTTATTACGATTCGACGTCAGTAATAAGGAGATAAAGATATTTTATTCATTAAGAGTTTTTTAGCATTGATTTTGCCAGTAGATAAAGAGTTATTTCTTCAACCGAAATTTAGTTTCATTCAAATTTTGTCAAAAAATTATCTTTTAATTTGGATTGTTTTTTATTGCTTGATGAATATTTTCTATTTAACAACGGAAATAAAAAGAACTTTTTCTTTTGTAGATATCTCTAACGAATATATATCAAATTTATCCATTTGTATTCTATCAATTAATTAATTAGCAATGCCAGGTAAATAATTAAATTACATCGAGTTTCATAATTATAGAGTACGCAAACATCTGAAAACGAAGTATAACGATGATATATCCCTGTGGCTGTATACGAAGAACAATACAGTCATAGACAAAGAAAAAAAAAGGAACAAAATAGAGACCTTATATGGACTCAGCATACGTCGAGAGTAAACGAATGTGTTGTTTTTTTTATAGAAGTTGTTAATAGAGATGTCGGTCAATTTGTCGATCAATACAGCTGTTGTAGTTATCAGTAATGATGTTTACTGATGGTGGCAGATCAGTTTGACTGTGCGAGCGTTGGTCGTAACAGTGATTCAGCCTATTGAGTTATGCCTCTAAATTACTAATATCTCACAAAGAATTTTTTATTTCTGCGAATTATCTTTTGATAAACAAAACAATGTTTCATTTTATCTTTTGAATATCTATGTAACATTCTCCGAAACATAGACACATGGGTTTCAACAGAGAATTTATTTCATAAAATTATTAGAAATTCAACAAATTGATTTTGTTCTAAAAAATACTTCTAAGATAATTTAAAATAAAAAGAAATGTTGTCCATTTTCTTATCATAAAGCATAATGTGTAAATAATCTAATTTTTTTGATTATTTAGTACGAAATTTTAAAATATTAATATATGGATTACCTGATTTAAGAAATGATCAGTTACAAACAGCAATAATACATTGTCAATCTGCCAATCAGTTAAGAACTGCTTTGAACAACTATCACGAATCACTTATAGTAATTGTATGTAACTCCAATCGTCTAACTGAAATAGATACATTATTAATGAATTATGAAATTGATACATTATATGTTTGTAATAATGATGAAGATCAAGATATTAGAGAATGGTTTGATGGTCTTATATTTGAGAATATGATTGAAATCAATAATAGAAGACAATTGATGCGTCATTTATATACAAAGACAATGCTTTGTTATTACAATCAAGGTTTAGAACATCAAAAAAATGGCGATTTTGGTTTGGCAAATTTATGTTTTCTTGACGCACAGACAGCACTGCAATATTCTGCTAATTTTATGTGACTTTCTATTTTTATATTGAATTATAACATTAGTTCTGAGAATTTTTTTATTTTTTTAGGCGAACTTGAAGTTTTCTATCTCGTGAATGGAAAGAGATATGAGTCTGAAATTTTTAATATCAATAGAACTCATAGAGATCTATCGATACTAAAAATTTCAGACTCATATCTTTTTCCATTCACGAGATAGAAAGCCTTAAATTTGTCTAAAAAAATAAAAAAGATTTTAGAACTTATATTACAACTCTATATATAAATCATAAACTAGAACTTCGATAATAGTAACATTACTATAAAAAGTGATTATTAAGTGATTTTAGTGTTGAAATAAAATATCAGTCTATTTCTATAAAATAAAAACAAATCAATGTTATCCAATTTATATAAATGTGGTTTGAAATATAAAGTTACTGTTGAATTTTCTTGCATGACATAAACTATTAAATTGTATACAATTTTGTCATGCAAGCTGAATATTCGGTTTCTTAGAACTTTTTGAGATTAAAAAAAAGAATGTTTTATATAGCTCTGTTAGATAAGATAATGTTTTTTTAATAGTTAAACTTGTATTTTACTTTGACAATGGATTGATTCTTTGATACTCAATGTTTTCAAAGAATATAATCCCTTTATCATATTGGTTATATACTCAGACTTTCTGAATTTCTGTATGTGATTGTATTTACTACTGATAAAGCCTAGCATATCTTATCTGTACGAATCAATATTTGAAAATTTAGATCAAGACTAAGGAAAACGAGATTTTTTTATGATCCATACGGCAACTATCTGATAATTCATCTAAAATGGAACAAGAAAAAATAATTAGTTCAACAAACTATAAATATATCTGTCACCTTTTATCTTATGATTCTTTTTTTATTCTACATCGTTTTATATATGTGAAAAGAAGGAAGAATTAATCAAAAATGTGTTGTCTAACGTACCCGTAAGCACTTTTTCATGTGTAGAAAATGTAGCAGAGAGGCTTTGATGACTTCTGGCAATCTTTCCAACACTACATAACGACCAAATAATCGACTATTTTTGTCACTTGTGATGGCTTGTTTTCTTTTTTCATTCTGTCACTTCCTATGCGCCGTCGAGGTTTCAAGGCGTCTGGGTCAACGTAAGTTGGAAAGATTTTTCAGGTCGTTCTTTTCTTTTTCTGTCGTCGTCATAAGAACAAAGAAGTGTAATAAATGAGCTATTTACTGATTTTTCGGCGAAAAACAGAATAGAAATCAAGGTATATAGTAGAATTCATAATGCACTTTTCTGATAATAGAAAGTAAGTGCTTCTACGATTTATTATTTCTACCAAGTAAAATATTTTCTCATGCGCTGATCAGATAAAACGACAAATTATAGATTTTAGTATTTGATTCATTATGAAAAGTTTTTCTAAATTTTCTGCTTATTATTATTTTATATTGATCAAAAAAAATAAACACTTCTTGTTAAGGTTAAGACAAGTATTCACAACAAAACTGGTGTAACAATCAAAATTTGTTTAATAGTTACTCAAAAAAACATAGGAAAAATCGAATATACTTCTTGACTTGTTAAATACATAGATATAAGTAAAAATCTATTGAACCATGATAAAAATTGTAAGTTCAAAATCTGAAGAGCATATTTCGACGAAAAATACACTACTTGACCTGTCTCTGCTAAATTTAAAGGTGTCTTGGAAGTATAAGTTTTCGCAGAATCAGCTTTACTAAACTCAATGTCGGAAATTTCCAGATTTCATTTAGTAGAGGCTGTGTAGTACAATGGGATTTTTTCTTGACTCAAAATAAATTTTTTCGTGCTTCCAAGTAAATAAGATTTTTCCTAGGTACGGCAATTTCCAAGTACTAAATATATAAAAAGGAAGCTTATATGTAATGAAATAATATCACATCTTATTTCGTGTTGTATTCGGACAAAGTAGGTAGTAAACACATAATAGTATAAGTAAAAAAGCTTGTTCCTATAGATTTGTATATGCAGATTATATAACATTTTTAGAATCTTTGACATAGGCCATGTGCATTTACTCGGTAAAAGTCTAAGACTGAGGTATTTTCAATTTTTTTCCTACGATACCAAAGTAGGAGTGGACCTTTTTGTTTAATTTGACTTAATTAAACCAAATAAACTGAATATGATCTGCTTCAACTAGTTCAGAATCATCCCTAAATAGGAATATAATAATACTAGAGGTTTCTAGGTCACGCCGGTGTTTCTAATGAAAATCTAAAATAAAATTTACAGTACACTCTGTTTCATATGGGCAAAATGTACCATAGTGTGCCAAGTCACATTTTCATGGAATGTTAAAAAAATAAAAAATATTCATACCTTATTGACCATGTCATAAGATACATCAATACGAAACAAACAAATAGAGAGGAAGAAAGAAGCGATTCGTATTCGATTCATTTAGGAAGATTGACCACATCAAAGTACGCCATTAGAATATCACCGCATAAACATGAGAATCTACGAATTACTATTTTCAAAATTCAAAATAATCGCATATCAATCAAAACTATCGTGTTTATCGTTATCATCATATACAGCAGCATGGTTTGAACAAAACTAAATTGAATCTGTTTTAATTTTCAATTTTAATCCAATATGTAAAGGTGATTGCCACAATCTTCTGCCATAGTTTAGTACTGAGGAACATCTTGAAGAGTAACCGTTTTTTTTTCTTTAAAAAGAGCAAAGTCTGAACTACAAATTTTTCATTGAGAATGTTTTTCCAGAACGAATTTAAGACAGAGAAAAAGCTTAAAACCGAACACTTCTAAAACAACTTTTGAAATTTTGTTAGCGACTAGTATCAATTTTTTATTCCTACTAATTCTCTTAATATTGGAAGAAAAGGAAAAAACAGTTTCAATGATAAGTTTTGGTAGCCTAAGGGCGCTGTTTCTGATTGTATATTCAAAAATGAACTTGATGATAGTTTTAATATAAACGCATTGCTCTTTCTGAAAGAAACTAAACAATTTAGTTGTTCTTACCATCTCCTCTCTTTATAGCGGTAAAAAGTATTCATTGAACAATTTTTTTCTCTTAAGTTCCTATGCTCTAATATATTGCGAATGAATAATACGAAATAAATCAACTTCATATGTAGTTTTCGGAGATGGCACACTAATATCCTTTTAGATTGTTAGTTCTTGGGAAAAGTTTTTGTTAAGAAAATCCAGTGCTCAAATTTTTTCGATTAAAGAGTCAAGAATGGATGTAAAATTTTTAACACTGTTTATATCGATCGAGTTTTGAATGCCCTACTGTTTGGTGTACTTTTTTTGTAAAAATTTAATCCATGTAGTCTCAGACAATGCTGAAACATACATTTTTCAAGCTGGAAGAGCATTGCAAGAACTTTTCCTTAGGGGTGTTTGATTTTTGGATTTCTCTTCTACTCAAGTTTGTTCTGGAAAAGTATGGCTAGTACGAAACTTGTACTTCAAACATTGCACTATTTTAGAAGAAAATGTTACTTTCCAAGGTATTTTCAAGAGCAGAACTGTCACCGAAGATTTTAGCAATTACTTTTATATCTGAAATTATTCTGCAGCCACTAGATGAACACGAGAGGCGAACTAGCATAAAGCTGAAAAAGAAAATAGATAGAAAAGAAATCAGAAAAACTTATGTCATTCAACGTATGATAGAACAAATCAAAATAGATCACTATCTATCCATTGTTTAAGCATAATTTTTGGACTAAAAGTGGTTTTTAAATTTCCCCTGCAAAGTGTAAATTGTAGACTCTACCTTTTGAAACAAGAGTAGAGCAGCGTATATTTCTATAGCTGCAGATGTCTATACATTTGTCATTCGAAACATTCGGTCACGCTCATGAACGCAAGTTGTGTACCCCTAGTATCGTCTAATCAGATTCGAGAAAGCTGTTTCTCAGCTATTGTAAGGATAAAATATACTTTTGTTTGAGGCATATGAAAGAGGACCTTTGATAATCCTCTGATGTGCTTGAACAACACTACGCTTAATCCTGACAATAGAAAAGAAAACCCTAGTGATATCTGACCGGTTGATAGCTTTTTTCGTTTTATCAATCAGATTTCAGCAGAATTTTTCTTACCTCTGGTAAGGGCAAAGCATAGTTTTGTTCGGGCCGATCCAGGGCTTATCATATTTCCTCTTTCATATGACCCAAACAACAGTATGGTTCGTCCCTAAACTAGATAAGAAACAACTTCCTCGGACCTGGTTGCTCTATCTTAAGGGTGTACAGCTCATGCTGATGAGGGCTTACTAGGGCGCTCACGAGTTTAAAATGTGCAACCCTAATGAATACAAGCAAAAACGGATTGATTCATATCGATGACTGACATGTTTAAAGTAGAGAAGAAACGCTCATGTTCGTGTTTGCAGCTCATGGGCATGAAAGTATGTTGTACATCCCTAAATAAGACCAACACCCTATAGGTACCTGACCAAGTAAATTTAAATCTTCATTTTCAAGAAAGCAATTATAGATTCGAATTACCCGACTCTAGAAATCCTTGATTAAACTGTATAGAAAACTGCCATTTTTGAAAAATAACTTTTCCATGTCAAAGAAAATCAAACTTGCACATACCGGGGGAACAATTGCAGAATCTTCATTTTTTGATCAAAAAAAGGACTTTTGCGAAAGTAACGCTTTTTTTTATAAAGTTTGATCAAAGGCTTCCGAGGTCGAGGAATCCGAATCTATAGTTGGTTTCTCGAAATTGAGGGTTTGATTTTTCTTGGTAAACTATCAATGTCAATATCCATCAACACCAAATGACATTCTTATAGGTGGTGTTGATATTATGACAATCCTAGTCCTAAAAAATTTACAGAGACTAGGCTGCATAGTCCTTAAAAAGTTGCAGAAAACATCCTTAGTTAGTCCTAGAAAAGTTATCAAATAACTCGTATAAAGAGAGTGCGTTATCCATCTCATGCGAGCTGTTGAGTTGCAGCTGTTACATAGATAATTAA